GTGGCTTTCGCTGATCAGTGTCAATCACCCCTAGTTCATGCGCAAGGCAAATAACTCCAATGGTTTTGTCGGCAGCCAGTGGTTTTCACTGGCATCCACGGTAGATATTTACCTTTATTTCATCATTTGTGCGATGCAATAGAAACCTGCGAGTTCCCACTGGAAATTATCGTTTGGTGGCACACCAAAAAAATAAAAAATAAAAGTAATAGGCCAAGAACGAGTCAGGAATCACTGGCTACCTTGTTGATATCACTTCCTTCATCAATTATTATATTTTATTGAATGCCATTGACTTCCAGTAGCTTCACAAGTCACTCATGGTTAAAGTTTTCCCTATAAGGTTCGGAATATGTGCATAATAGATCTCTTTGGCGGTGTATCCTAGTAGCTTCCATGAGCCTTTAGTGATCTCCGAGTCAAAGAATTTTTTAGTGGCTTATATTGTGTCAGAAAACGGTAATTGTTACTGGTTGCCCGTGGTTCCCGATGGTTTTTACGAGTCTCTACTAGTATTGTGAGGCCAAAGCGTGATTTTATTGGACATACATTGATCGTAAAAATTACAGTGACTCAAGAATAAAGCCGATCGTTCTCATTGGTGTTTTGACGAGAACTTGATAAGAACAAATGCCATCGGAAACCAACAGCAGCCAGTAGGATCTACTGCCAAAGTGCCATTTTTATTTGCAGGTTTAGTGGCCAGTGGAAGCCAGTGGAGACCAGCGGCGACTCCAAGACCTCAATGGCGGCTACGCCCGCATCCGCAGGTGCACTCCGCGTATATTACTGGAACTTGAAAGATATTTTTGAAAAGTAGCAACAGTGGCCAACCAAAAAAAAAAGATACAAAGAAGAAAAAAAAGAATCGCACTGTTCAGCCAAAGAGATCAACACCGCCTCCGTCGCGCGAATGTCCACGCCAGCAGCGACCGTGCCGCGCTCCGTCGTGGCCCTCCCCGCCGCCCGCGCATCGCCCGTCTCGTAGCTCAGCCCGCCTCATCGTAAACCTGACACGTCGTTCGCATGTCTGCGGAACAGTCAGCACGCCGGCGCAAATCACAACACCGACCTCTTGAACAGACGAGCCATGATGCGCAAGATGATACTTGCACAAGCCGCTGCAACCAGCGATGATGACATCCGACCGTCCCGGAGTAAGAGCTGGAAGTCAGCAAAAAATAAAAACATCTCAAGAAGCCTCATACGGTTTTTCCTATGGATGATAATCCACGAAGGTTACAAGACCGTGACCCGTGTTTCTAGAACTGGCAACTGCTGTACTTCTGGCTGTGCGGCTTCACGGAGACCTGTCCCAGGGTCTGTCATTGATAAGCTTTCCTATGCCCTCTTGTCTTGCTGCGCTCGGGCTTGGACACCAGAGTGCGAAACACGGGCGACGATTGTATAAATGTCATTTTATCCGGGTCAAACATCTGCTCTTTCTGCGGCGACGTTTCCTGGAACAGCTGTCTCTCGTGCCCCATATTCGCTGGTACCACCGAATAATCCATGTCGCCACACTGCAATTCGAACAATTCACGTACTGGCCACTGCTGCTACTTCTCAAAAATATCTTTCAAATTCTTCTGTCGATTCGTTTCTGCATGCGTGGACTCTTTCCAACCATTCCCGTTCGTTCGTTCGTTCGTTGACTGCCGCTTCGGGAGCCTCCGTTGTCACCACACTTCAAAATTATCCTGACAGTCCACAAAGAAAAAAAATACAAAGAAAAAAAAGTCGCACTGTTCAGCCAAAAGATATCAACACCGCCTCCGTCGCACGAATGTCCACGCCAGCAGCGACTGTCCCGCGCTCCGTCGTGGCCGTCCCTGCCGCCCGCGCATCGCTCGTCTCGTAGCTCAGCCCACCCCATTGTAAACCTGACACGTCGTCCGCGTGCCTGCGGAGCAGTCAGCACGCCAGCGCAAATCACGATTATTTTTTAAAGAAAAGAAACACAGTGCGCACCCAATAACGAGCCGCTTGACACCGAACGCGGTCGGCTTCGTACCACTGCCCGTGAACGCCAAGTCCAGATGGACGCTCGTCCTGCTCGTGTTCGCCGCGCCCTGGAGGAACGCCTGCGAGTTGATGAACAGCGCGCGCTTCAGCACGCGCGCCTCGTAGAATGCGTAGCCTGCGATGCGTGCGTTGTTCACGCTGAGCTCGATGGACTGCCTGCTGCTGCCGGCACCCATGGCCTCGCTCGCCACGATGGCGGCGTAGTATTGCGGCTGGACGTGCGGCTTCTGGGGGACTGGGAGCGTTGAGCCGTCGAGGGTGGAGCGGGTCAGCACCGCGGGTTGGATCTGCGTGGAGAATGGATGATTCGTGTTATGCTGTTCTGTGGCAAAGGGAGACGTACGAGATTGTACTTGTATCCGATGCCTTCATGGAAAAAGACTTGGGATATGCCGAGCTGTGCGCTGGGGACAATGGTAAAGAACGAGAACAACCGGGCCAACATGTTTTCCTGCTCACGCGAATAGCCCATAGTCGACTTGATTGTATAACATGAGGTGCCGAATGCAAAAGGGTTTCAATAGGACTCACGCGTCCACTGGATTATGATCAATTGACATGTGCCTTATATAGAGAAGTCCTTAGACTCACAAGAGCTGCTCCAGCAGTATTCGACACGCCAGGAGCGCCCTATCACAGCTGGGTCATCGCAGCTGCGGAACCCCAAAGAGACGGACTTACGTGGCACGAGTACGCTACAGTAAACAGGTTATCTCAAAAAAAGAAAGACTGAAAGCGGAAAGACGCACAATTAGTTTCCCCCAGTACGTAGTCGAGGCCCTGCGCCTGTGTCGCGTCGATGTCGGGCACGAAGATCGTCAGGTTCGAGCGGATGGTGGATTTCGTCATTAGGTCCTGCAAGAGGCCGCCGCTGCCAGCACAGAATGATCCCCTGCATATGTATACCAAGGTCATCGCGCGGTCAGAGTGTCTGCATGTGCTTACGAATAATGGTGCTGCGAGATCGTGGTTATGAACGACCCGGGCTCTGAGTCCAGTATGTTATTTTGGAAAATGCCCTGCGGCGAGAAACCGGTCGTTGAGTGAGAGGACCCAGCGAATGCCGCGCCCCAGATTCTGGTGTCCGAGCCGGCCAGGTTGGCGGTGCGCGTCATGTTTGTCGCAAATTGGATCCACCTGTAGAAGATAGTGTTGGATGGGATCATGCATGGTACACAAAAAAAAAAACACGCACTCCGTGGTGTATTGCGAAATGTTGTAGTTCGTCGGACGCAAGCCGTTGTTTTTAAAGAGGTCTGCTTCGTTGCCCAGTTCTAGGAAATCGAGCGAAATGGACGCGTCCAGGAACGCCTGCGAAGAGAACGCGCGGACGATTTCTCGCGTTTCCAAAAACACGGCCTGGAGGGAGGGTTAGTTGGGTCACGAGTTGAAGAGAAGAAAGGGATGGAATCATTACCGTGAGATTCTTTCCGCCAAAATTAACGCCCCATATTACCCCGGTGCCTGTTCTGAGTCAGATGGGTGCGTGCGGCCGAGGATTCTCGTCCCACCGGTTGGCAAAAACTTGGCTGACTGATAAAAGCCCGGCCCCGCGACGACGTTGGTTGCCTCGGGGTAAGGCACAGTTGTCGTCGGCGGGGGAAAGACTTGCTGCACAAACTGGACCGCAGGATTAAAGTTCGTGTGGTCCTCGCTGGGACCTGCATTAGACACCATGGAGAAAGTCACTCTCGAGCTACCTGTCGGCCCCGATCCTGATGGTCGGGTTGGAGCCGGTCAGCACGACGAGGTTGTCGAGCGCATTGAAGAAGAAAGAATTGCGCGACGTGCTGCCAACCCAATCCACCCAGCGGTCTTGCTCAATAGATAGGCTGAAGAGATTTCCACTCAGCGTCGGCGAATCGGGCTGCGCCGATAGCGGGATGGAGACTGGGATTCCTGAGGCCAGGGGGACGAGAGCGAACCACAGACTCAAAAGAAACATTGTGGTCGGGGATCAACTCAGTGGTGTTGGAAGAACGCTGCTATATACCAAAAACCGCAGGAGAGAACCCGCCGGATGGGGTGAGGGAAGCGCGCGATGGTCAGGCCGCAATGGTGGAGATGCATGCACATGGGCCGATTGAGGGGAGAAGGAGCAAATCTGGCTGATCCGGGTCAACACAAGTACCGGAAGAATGGTGTATATTGTGAGAAGAAGGGCCATGAATAGGCTCAAATTGACAAATGCCAGGGTGGAAGGGAAGAACTTGAGAACTGACATGGTAAGTGCAGTGGCAGAGCTCGGAGATACGTGACGTCACGCGTTCTTCACCAAAAGTGGTTGCGTTCGTTCTTGGTCCAATTCATCACGAACACCCCCGGTCCATCGCATATGCTTCGCTCATCGGCACCCCTTCAATACCATTAATATATCATTCTCAATAGTCTGCTGTTCATCAGCGCTTCAGCGTCGAAGATACTCACCACAAGCGAGCTGCCATTCAGAATGGTTAATTTATGCCTGGCCGCCTCAGGCTTTCTAACACCCACATGCAGGTGGTACCCCAAGGTCCTGCTTAGTACTGTCAGCTGCTTCCTTCATATCACTCCTCATACCAACCCCTTCTTCACCTTCTGGGCAACTACATCTCGCTTATTGGGGCCACGGTGTTCATACTAGGCTTGTCCTTCTCGTCGACTTTGGCTACCGCTGGTCCGAAACGACAACTGGGAAGGCTCTGACTCGTCGTCTAATCCGAGTCTATGAAAGCTGCCTTCAAATTTTCAAAGACTGAGACTGTTGAAGTACTTGGCCCGCTGGAGGAAAATTGTCCGTTCACCGTCTCCCATGGTTTGATGGTGTAGTTGGTTATTATTTCTTTTGCTTCAATAAATTCGTTCTGTGGGTCGTTCACTGGCGTCAAGAACGCACAGGACAATGGTGAAAAGTTCTAGAATTCAAAAGTCTCAAGTTGTGAAGCGATGAGATGGCTCATCACCCACTACACTGTGAAGAGGTGCCATCCATCATGGGTTCGATGGTGTAGTTGGTTATCACTTCTGTCTAACAATCGCGTAATCATTACGTAATTGGCACACAGGCGGTCCTCAGTTCGAACCTGGGTCGAATCACTTTTTGCACTTCCCCCTTCCACTTTTTTTTCTGTACCTGCTTGTTTTTTTTAAAAAAAAAAAAATAACAGTTGACTCGAGAGCTGGCCGGCGCTGGCCTACGAACAAGTTTCTGCTTCCGAGTCTCAACTTGCTCTCAACTAGTCAATATTCAGGCTTGATATAGCCCAGATTCAGCCTCGGTCCGGCTCTCTACTGGTTCTCTATGCGGCCCTTGCAAATTATAGACGTTCAGTCTTCAGAAGTCTCTTGGAGTCATCCTCATTGCACCCCCGCGTCAAATCTTTCGACCTAGATTACCATGTTGCCGCGCTTCTCGACTGAGATCCAGCTCCTTATTGCTGAGGAGGCCTCCATCTCGTCCCGTGCATCTCTCAGCCTCTGCTCACACCATACGCGCGCCGTAGTATTCCCACTGCTGCACCATACCGTGCATATCGCATCGGCGGGCGAGTTGTTTGACTTCTGCGCTCGCGTTTCCGAGGAGGAAGGCGCGGATGGGGGCGGCTGCATAGATGGCCTGCGCGTCACGGCACACGTGAAAAACCTGCGGCTTGACGGGAAGTATGAGGAGGACGCGTTCAACGAACTCGTCGCCGTCGTGCCGCATCTGCGCCGGCTGGAGGGCTTTGCGGCGCCCATGAACGTGGACTGTCTCCCGCAGACGGTCTTTGTGAGCATGCGCATACATTGCCCGCGGTTTGACTCCGTCTCGCTCTTTCTTCTGCACGACTTTGATGCTTCTGGTGAGTTACCTCTATTAAAACTGATTTTTATTTTACTGACAAGGAGACTCAGACGAACATCTCGAGGCTGTGAGTATTTTCGTTCAATTTCTCTCAGTGTCTGAATATCGCATAGACGTTTGCACTGGAAGGACTTAAGCACCTCACAATCAAGTCCGATTTGCAAATCTGTAGATCTTTTTTCGTATCCCTTATATGATGCAACTAACCTATTCCACAGTCCTGTCAGACATCCGGATTAACAACCGCCTGCCCCCCAGCATCCTCAAAGCCCTCCGCGCCTCTCCCACGCTCGAGACACTGCACCTCGCATTCGACATGATGGAAAACCGAGCTCGCTGGGATGTCCACAACTTCTTTGCCAAGCTCGGCGGGATGCACTTCCCCCGCCTGCGCGCGCTCTCCCTCCGCCAGTCCGCAGTGCTCGACTGCTGGAAGCTCTGCAACGCAGACGATCCCGTCCTGCAGTTCCTGCACGCGCACCACGCGCAGCTCGAGACTCTTGCGCTGCCGTGCCCGATCGAGGACTTTGCCTACGGCCCCGCGGCGCTGCGCCTCCCTGCGCACTTCTTCCCCGCGCTCACCGCGTTCGAGGGCCCGGGCTTCCTGTGTCGCCGCTTGTCTGAGCTGCCGCACCCCGCCGCGCGCCTGCGCAAGCTCACGGTACTGCTCGATCGCTCGGTGTGGGACGGGATCGCGACGACGAGCGACGACGAGCAGGCGCAGCTGCTCGACACGCTGCGCGCCTACAGCGCGCTCGAGGCGCTCGAGATAAGGCCGATCGCTGACATGGCGTGCACGCCGGCGCAGCTGCGCGTCCTTGCGCAGGCAGCGCCGCGGCTCACGGACCTGATCACGTCTGTGGATCTCGCCGAGAATAATGCGGACTTCGTGCGTGCCCCTGCAATACTGAAATATTAACCTAACCTAACCAACCCAATTGCCGCAGGACGATCTTGGCCCCGTTCTCGCGTCCTTCGCGCACCTGCAGACGCTTGGCATGCCCGTGGCCGGCCTCCTTGAGGGCACGCCGAGCACACCGGAGGAGTTCATCTTGTCCCTCGCGGCTCACTGCCTGCACCTGCGCACCGTCATCGACCTTGATCCGCCGATGCGCCGTGACGTGCATTGGGAGGCACACGTGAGCCGCTTGGATGGCGTTGTGAGCGTGCAGGTAGAGACAAGGATTGCGTCTAAATTTGACCGATATACGTGGGATAATTAGAGCTACATACCCTGCGAGTAGCATCGTGAGCATGCGCATCGATTTCTGGAATCACGATGTCATGGCTTGTAGAAGGTGAAATTCAAATAGTCGACGAGGCCCGTAGTAAGGGCCGCATCCATGTCACGGTCCGTCGAAGTTCATCCAACGAATGAGATACTCTGAGCTCACAATAATACATTCAGTACATCCATATCAACGAAATATTCATGTCCGACGAGATAACAGTCGATATAAATATCCATTCACTTCCTCGCAAGCGCCAGTGCTAGACCTGCCCAGCCTAGGCCAGAATTTGCAAGAAGGACCCACTAAACGACATTGAGGGGAGAGTTCTTTAACTCGATCTTCATTTCGAATCGTGCGTCAACATCGACTTTTTCTGTGGCTAGCGCCTCCGCTTGCTCGTTCGATGCCACTCCTTTCTGGGCGGCCGCGGATGTTTCGGGCTCGGGCGTGAAAACGGATCCGCCTGCCACCTCTGGCGGAGAAATATTCATTTCCTCTGTTTCGAGTGGCGAAATTCCACCTCGCTGATATCTGTGGTCAATCTCCGTCTGTGCTGCGATGGCGAGTGCCACGTTCTGCCAGTGGGAAACGATTTCTCCGCAACTCAGCCTGCTCCCCTCCTCTGTATCGTCAATCTCTGCCTCTGCCGCCACTTCCTTCGAGACGAGCTTTTCCCGAATAAGAGCGCACTCGGAAGCTGCAGATGATGAGCCCTCTGCATCTCCTTGGACCGACAGGTACTCTGCAAGCTGCTGAAACGCATCTCCAAGAGCCGGAAAATGGTGTGGCAGCCGGTTGGCCACCACCTGCAAGAGGCTGATGGCCTCTTCCAAGGCTCTGATGGATTCATCACAGCGGTCAACTTCCCAGAGTCTTGAAGCAAGATCTCGGAGGCCCTCCGCAAGGGATGGAGTATGGCGTACGGCCAGTGAAACCAACTCGCGGTATTCCTCGACCGCCTTCTCGGCGTTTATCAGGGCCTCCTCTGGGTGCCCTGAAGCAGCTAGGCGAAGTGATAGTGTGTGGAACGCTTTCGAGACAAATTCCTCTGGCCGATATCCGTCTGGGCAGAAACTGCGCCACGGTAATCCCGCATATATCGCGGCTGCTTCCTGTGCTGCTACAAGGCCGTCCTCCGCCCGACCACAGGCCGCAAGACAGTTTGACAGGGAGATAAGTGCATGGGCAACAGCAAGCCGGGGTTGGATCTCATGGGGATGAGAGCTGCGAATTTGTCGACATTGGCCAACTGCTTGGTACGCAGTTCCAAGGGCCTTTTGGTTCAGGCCTAGATCCAACTGTGTGGAAGATAGGTCCGAAAGTAAAAAACACAAAACCCAGTACAAAGCGCTATCCCACACTGTGAGACACGAGCCCCTTTCAAGTAGTGCCAGAGCCTATTTTTTTTCTGCCAGTCTGTCGAAGAACGAAAGATTCCACGACAGCGAGGAGACATGGACGATTCCAACTCTGTGCAGCGCCACGGAAAATAATTTCTGCCTCAGGAAAGCGGCCCATGTCAGCCAAGACAAGGGCCTGAAGACCGAACCATCTTGCGTCGAGTTCAATCCTCGACTCTTGACTGTTGAACTACTGTTCTCTGCTGTGGAGAACCGCATTTTCCGGCGAGGCACTAGGTATCATCGAAAAGGCGATGCAATATAATATCGAACACCTCGGTCCAGTTGCCAGGTATGAGTCAATATTTTTTCGCCAGTGCGCAACAAGATCGCCAAACCCCAAGACGAGCAACCGCGCTGGACGAGGAAGCTCCAGAGAGACATGATAGGTGCTGTGAACCGCGATGTCCCGCTCGAACCAATTGATAGCAGGCTCCATGATAATAGATGACACTTTTGCTTGCAGCACCGTAGTGGCTATTTTGAGGTGGGTAAGGACAAGATTCACCATGAAACACTGGACCGCATCGCAACGCATCTTCTAAACATTATAAAATAATGCATGAAAGGCCCTTTCCACCACCCAGTCGTCGCATGAAACAGAAGTAGTCAAGTTGTCCATAATCGGTGGTGGCGAAAACCAAATGGGTTCTAAGAACAACCGTAAATCTTTCATGGACGCAGTATTATCGTGGTTGGAAAAATATGCGCGAGCGTAAAGCTGCGTAAAGTATCAGAAGGAACTGTTCCGAGAATTCCTGCGGATAGATGCGCGAAAGGTTGCCATACAAAATGACGACATCTGCGAGAGAGTCCTTGAGCTGATCTCCTGCTTCAGCCATGCTGCATGTGTGGTCGAAAAGGCATCGATGTCGCTTTTAGAGGGAGGAGGTATTTCCCCTGCAAAGCGGGCGACGACCTCTAGGCCCTCCTTTGAAGCCAGGAACGCCTCACGATGCCGAGAGGCACGTGAAAGGGCACCACTGAGACAGAAAAATGATTGAGTGCATTCAGATCGTGCTTGTACATGGGATAGTCGACGACCAAAGGCGACTCGGCAAGATTGGCACGCGCGCGCTTCGAGACAGAACCCGCCCTCTATCTGCTCTCCGAATCCTCCGAGTTTTCCGCGTCAAACTCCTCCGAGCGGCGTTTAACGATTGGCGCGCCGAGCTCGACGGATACCTCGCGCACCTGCTCCTCCATCCGCTGTCGTTTCGGCGGCGTGCCCTCCGCCCAGTAACGTTCTTCGGCGGCGTGTCCCCGCCCGCTCGTCCACGGAGCGTTGCGCCCCGCCCACGACGTGATTCTGTTGGGCGGGAGCGTCGGCGGTGCGTCAGATGTACGCTATACCTATCGTGGTAGCGATATTGTCAGCATATTTTAGGTAAAAAGGAGGGCCGCGATGAGAGGCAGGCGCAGTGATGGAACCCCAAAGCGAGCAAGTTGGCAGGGAGACTCAAGGCTGGCGGAACAGACAGGAATAGAATCTATGCATTCTCCGTACGCAGAACGAAGTAGGTATTCTCTAGGCAAGCATCCATTTATTTATTTGTGACGGCGTGTTGGAGAGCCTCGTACACGTCCGCCTCGATGCGGGCCTCGAGTTTGTCCTCTTCC